TTTGTGGTGCAGGTGGGATGACAGGCATGAGTCGTTGTATCCAGGTGTTGGTTAAACAGGATCTTGTTGATGTTTTGTGTGGATTGGTCTTAAGCCATGATCCTCCTGATCTCAGCTACTTGGAAAAGTAGCTAGGATTACCTACTGCATCAGTTTGGGTATAGGTTTTCAGTCTTACAAGATGAGAAAGTTCTGGAAGTAAATGGAGGTGATGGTCATACACAGCATGAATTTATTTAATGACATTTGAATATAAATTTTTATAGTTAAAAATGAAAAAAAAGAGATTCCTGGAGTCCACAGGAGTTTCTTATTAAATCCTCAGTGGTACCTGTCTGTCTCTCCTCGTCTAGTCCATGTCCTGGCATTCCAAGATCAATGTCCAGTCAATCACCTTGTGAATGAAGAAGTGAAGTGAACTAGCTGTGTGGTTGAGACTGTAGAGGATCCTGGGTAAGCACAGTCCTGGGATTCTGACTAGCAGTTCATTTCAAGTGGTAATAACTATATTTTGTTGTCAGGGATATTTTTCTTTTTAAATTTTATTTTTAAACTGTTACTTCTGTGGAAGTTCTTCTCTCCCGCTGCCTTAGGAAGACACAAAGAGCAGCTGGTGACAACCTTCTAGGGGAGGAAAACTCTTCTATAAGCCTCAGCACCATTGTCAATACCTGGCATCTCCAAAGACACCGAGCAACCTGCTTCCCACAGTTCCAGCCTAAAACAGCAGCCTCAATCTCATTGTGGACTTGACTTTGGGTCCTCCCTACATTTCTGTCTCTCTTTCTTTTTCCTTTGCAGTACTGAGGTTTGATCTGAGGGCCTTGTGTTTGCTATGTATTTTTCCACTTCAGTCAGCTCCACTTCTGTCTCTAAATGGATCCAAAGTTTCCTCTTAAGAAGTCCTCTGCCCTTGGCATGTACTCCCATGGTATAGCAAGGGGCTCTCTATCCAGGACTCTGTCCTTAGCAGATCCCTGAGCTGCTCCTGCTTGGCTGAGCTTCAGCACATGTATCTATCCTCCACAGGAGACAAGTGTTCTTCAGGTAGTTGGCTCAGAGTAAGAAGGCAAAATCATTGTTATTGGCTAGCTACTCAAAGCCTGCAAACAGTCTTTGGGGGATTCTTTGCAAAGCCTCAGGAGCTGCAGGCGAGGCCTGCATTGCTCTGCCCAGGTTCTCAGCGCAGTGGCTTTTCTTGGATTATACCTGACTGGTATGCCTGGCCTGCACTTGCAAGTTCCACATGAGAATGAACCTTGTGAGCTCCAGGTGTGGTGAATGCACAGGTGTGGTTGACACCATTGCTGATGGGGAAGAAGGGCAACTTTTCTTCCAGGAACCAGAACCAGGGATACTTGTGAACTGAAAAACATGGATTTTGCCTCATATCACTGATGACTCTCCATTTTGCTGCTGCTAGGAAACACCAAGTCAACTCTGGGCCTATTTTGGGGAACAGGGATGTCTAATAGAACTTTCTGGAGGGATGGGAATTTCCTGCATCTTGACTATTCAATATGGCAGCTATCAGCTACCACAGAGTGCAATGATGGCTGATGATGTCTAGGATGACTAAGGAATAGCACTCTGTGTTTGTGTGTGTGTGTGTGTGTGTGTGTATTTGTGTGTCAGTCCTGGGGCTTGAACTCAGGGTCTGGGCTCTGTCCTGAGATCCTGAGCTTCATCATTCAAGCTTTATCATTCTATTAATTGGAGATAAGAGTATCCTAGACTTTCCTGACTAGGATGGCTTTGAACTACAATCCTTAGATCTCAGCTCCTGAATAAATAGGATTGCATGTGTGAGCCACAGGCACCCAGCTCCAGGAACGACATTTAACATTTAACTTATAATTTCAGTTTCAATGGCCACATGTGGCAAGGGGCTACCTCTGATCCACATATTCTAGAAACTACCTAGTCACTGAGATGGATTTTGGGTATCACTCTTGGCTGAAATCATTTTTCTAGTAATATTTGGTTTCTGCTTCAAACTGTCAGTATCTAATTGCTTCTATCACTCTTCTTGTAAAGTCTCCATCTTTGTCAGCCATCTTAAATTTCTTAAATATGAGATCTACCTATAAATACTAAAATGAGAGATAACAGCCTTTTTCCAATCTTTTTTTTGTTTTGACTGCATATTTCCCTGTTTCTATCTCATACCATACAGAGTAAGATGTGGGGGCTGGGAAGGTGGCTCAGTGGTAAAGCACTTGCCTTGCATGCTTGAGGCCCTGGGTTCGATTCCTCAGCACCCATAAGCAAAAAAACAAGCTGGAAGTGGTGCTGTGGCTCAAGTGGTAGAGCGCTAGCTTTGAGCTGAAGAGCTGAGAGGCAGCACCCAGGCTAGGAGTTCAGGCCCACGACCGTACCCAAAATAAAAACCAAAACAGAGTAAGATGTGGGTTGGGGTGAGCGGAAGCTAGGGAAAGGAGGCTGGGGTGAAGGAAGAGGTCTCTGTTCTGTTTCTTTAGCTGAGTGCTCTTCCACATGTGTTCATATTGTGAAAATTCGTTGGGCTGTATGTTTACGACTCATGTACTTTTCTGTACATATACTATTTATAGTTTCCCCCACTAAGAGTAAACAAACACATATAAAGAAAACACACTGTGTTCCAAGCATGGCATCAGTTTAGTTTTGTGGGATGTGGGAAGCCTCATGAAACAGAGTCTGGGACTCCACAACATCAATCATGCATCAATGCAAATCTCTAAGATGCATTTTTCGGAGAGTTCTCTGGCAACTCCTCACTACCCTTTATCCTTTTCCAGAGAGAGAGAGAGATAGCTTTCTTCCCACCTTATTAGATCTTAGCAAAGGACTTCTCCTAATTCTTCTGCTGGGATAAGTACCTTCCAGAAAAAAAAAATCTGAGCCTTTCTCCTCCAGAGGAATTAAAAGGAGGAGGAGTAATTCTCTCATATATGGAATGTGAAGTCAGTGGGATGGGGTCAGGGTAAGAAAATAAAATGTATTTTAACAAGACCATGACAAAACTCCTCAGCCAAGCTTTCCTTCAGTGTTGGAGCACATCTTACAAGAACAAAGAACTTGCTTTAAGAATGTGAGCTGAAAGTGGATCTAGGATACATATAGTGCTAAAGAAAATGTGGCCACAAGGCAGTCTCCCCAGTGCCCTGCCCCGTGATCTGAATACGTTCATTTTGCTGGAAGCTGAAATACAGATTTTTACTTTGACAAGGAACTACGGTATGTAGATGAGGTCTAACTCACAAAAGATTAGAAACTGCTCCCAGCAGAGAGGCAAAGATGTTTAAATGAACTTAATGAAGAATGAGGGACTATTTGTTACTTCTGTGCATACCTTTGCTTTACACAAAGATCTGTATTCTTGAGTCCTAAAATGCAAATCATTTTTCTTATCCTTTCATGGATCCTTCAAACTAAAAGTCAGCACCTGTATAGACTTAATAACCATTTACATGTGGGTCTTTTGTTGAAATGCTCTTTCAGTGTTTCCTTTGAGCAGAGCCCAGGACAAACCTTCACATTTTCTTCTTTCATTTGGGTTATTAGAAAGATTAAGAGAGGGAAAAAATTCCTCTCATTACTACAAAATAGAAGAAATCAGTTAAAAATAATCATATATATTTGTTTTTTACTATAAACATAATCCCTTGCATTTCAATAACTTTTACTTGGTGCCACTCTTTTATATTTTGCGTAAAGAACTGGCACTCTTGAATGCAGAAGAAAGTTTTCCTGACATTTCAAAGGGGACTGTGAAGCAAACACAAGCATTCAGTTCATTCAATAAAAAGGGGCATTACTTAGCTTCTTCAAAAAGAAGTCTGAAAATTATCTAGTTCCTAGGAATAGACATCTCTAGGTGACCCTGCTTACTTGAGCAACACAGCTTAGCTGTACCTAAGACCAGTGTGTGATGTGTGCTAAATTCTCATGTTAAAGCTCACATCAACAAACACTGAAAATTCACCTCTTGATTCTAGCTACTGCAAACATCAACTTTATAAACAACGTCCCCTAACTGGCTAGTGTATATCTCTTGTTGGGTAGCCAAACATGAAAACTAGAATGCCAGAAGTTGAGGCTTTTTCAAATATAATATAAAGCCCTATCTACCTAGCCCCAATGTACTTGTCAATTCAAGAAGGTCTGGTGGGAAAGCAACTATTCTCCTAACAGGTTGTGAATGACAGGAGCAGGGGGTTCTTTCAACTCCAGGCCCAATTTTGAATTGAGTGTACTTAAATGCCTCTGATGAGTTTAGGATACACCATGAAAGGAGAAGTGGGCCAGCAATGCTACAAGGTATTAGCTAGGAAGGATGGGGCCAGTCCACTGTCATTAAAATGTGCTCATTCTCCCAGCTGAAGGAGTCCAGATACATCCTTTAGTCCTTCACATGTTCAGGAGGGAGTCATCTTGCAAGTGCTCACAGATTCTTATAACCTCTTGTGGTAAGAATGGACAGATAGGAGGCAGTGGACGTGCCAGAGGGAAGGGAACCAACAGATCATCTTTCTCTATGGAATGCCAATGTTGTTTATAGCTTTCATATACATGGGCTTCCCTGAAGTTTGTTTGCAGGAGTGAACAGTGTGTGGGTAAAAAACTTTTGACTAAGGACTCTAACAGAGATCTCTCAGATTAGGGCATCTGATTCCCCTCTCCTCTCCCCCCATTCTAGAGCAATGTCCTAGCATCCAGAGAGAAAAGGGCTATTGCTAGCAGTGTTTCCATTCTAGAAAGGAGATTTTGGCCCTATACTTTATCAGGCTGAATGTACTTCTGATCAGACAACACGAAGTCAAGTGTACTGACAGGGAAGGGACAACCAGCCAATGAAAGAAGCCACTGCGGGAGGCCTGCAGGCCATTTAGGATTTCCAGAACAGGTAAGAGGTCTCTAGTAGAACTGATTGGCTTTGCCCTTCAGACAGACAGACAGGGAGACAGGCAGACAGACAGACAGACAGAAAGACACGCAGGCAGACATTTTCCTGATACCTGCAGAAGGATCTTGTTGCCATCATGGTCCTCGGTCTGCCAGCGCCCCTCACTGATGGGGCTGCAGGGGTTGGGCAAGAGTGGCACCAACTCACCAATGTCCTTCACCCGGAACTCTAGCACAGAGGAGTCGGTGGGCACCGGGTTCTGGTCACAGGGCAGCCTTTTGAGGGAGAACTGAATATCCACATCCAGATTGGAGAAAATAGGGAAGATGCAGAAGTCCGCTCTCTTCTGGCTGGGGCTCCGGCGCAGGATGAGCTCGTAGAGCCGGAGGCTGTCTGCATAGTTGTCGTGGCGACAGTAGATGGTGAAGCGCACAATCTCCTTGCCGTAGTGCACAGGCCTGATGGCCCACAGTGGGGTCCCGGGGGCCAGTGTGAAGTAATCCTGGCTGCAGGGCAGATAGGGCAGGAACCGGCCATGCACCTGCTCTGTGTGATGGTGGCGCCAGGGTGGCCGCTGCAGCATGCGGTACAACTGCAGGATCTGCTCCTCACCATATTCCTCCTGCAGGAACAGCACCACAGCCAGTGAGGGCTGTGAGTCCTTGGGGGGCTTCCGCCGCCTATGCCGGCCAGCCCGCCGTTCTGACACCCGGAACAGAGGGAGGTCTGGGTGGATCCAGGCTAACACCTTGTCGATGGCCTCCTGCAGCGGCTGGGACTCCCCTGGGTCTGAGATAATGTGGATGCTCACTAGGAAAGGGTCTTGCGCCTCTTCCACGGAAAGCTCACCTGGGGGCACACAAGAACGGAGGAATGGATCATTATTCTGGATGGATGAGTGGATGGGTGGATGATGGATGGATGGGTGGATAGAATGATTATTCTACTTAGTAGAACAGTGGAGGCATGTAGTATAGTATCTTGTCAGGAAAAGAAGCCAAATTCTAATGGAACTGAACTCATGATCTGTGATTTTTTTTTCTGATTCCCAAATACACTTGCAAAAACTTCTAGAGCAATGTCCTAGCATCCAGAGAGAAAAGAGCTATTGCTAGCAGTGTTTCCATTCTAGAAAGGAGATTTTGGCCCTATACTTTATCAGGCTGAATGTACTTCTGATCAGACAACATGAAGTCAAGTGTACTGACAGGGAAGGGACAACCAGCCAATGAAAGAAGCCACTGCAGGATGCCTGCGGGCCATTTAGGATTTTCAGAAATCACTGTACTGCCTTACTCTACAAACCTCCCCTATATTGCTGTATCTTTTCTGGTCCTTTCATTTCATTGGCTTATTTAGTTCATCCACTTAACAGACTCTTAGGATTCTTCCTATGTGTTCTCCACTGGGCAAAGCATATGTATACAGTGGAAGACAAGGGAGACATGTGTTGGCCTTCTGAAATTCACGCTAATTGACAAGTGAGTGGTCCTGCCCAGGGCTCTTGCTGCTAGCAACACAGGGAAGAATACTTCAGGAACAAATGCAGAATTCTTACTGGGGTGTGATTCTTACTGGGGGTGAGAAAAGTCTGATGAGGCTCTACCTATACTGCCTAGATAAATCTGCCTTTGGTGCCTCTTGTTAGTCCCCATCCACCCACAATCATGCATCCTAATGGCCTGGTTACCTCCCAGAACCCTCTGGTAGGACATCTAGAAGCTTCTAATACCAAGTGTGAAGCTGACTTTCTCATGAGGTGACACAGATTACCAGTGTCTATAATCCTAACTAATCAGCAGGCTGAGATCTAAGAATATCAGTTTTGAGCCAACCTGGAAAGACAAGTCTGAGAGACTCTTATCTCTTAATTATCTAGCAAAAAGCTAGACCAGAGACATGGCTCAAGAGCAGGTAGAATGATTTCATCTTTCACCACTCTCTTTTCCTCCCTCTGGTTAAACACATATTCCTGCAGTCATATGAGCATCATGCAATTTTGACTGACTTTATTGGACCAAATGAACTCTTTTCCCTAGGCACCACTAACAAGGCTGCATGAAGGAGACACCATATGATCTTGTCCCTGAAGGTAAATGGTAACTGACTTAGAATAGCCTCAAAGGGGGAAGGTCACTGTAGGAAGCAGCAGACTGTTGATAAAGCATAGTACTGTGCAAAAAGAAGTCCATTTAAGCCAGGCACCAGTGTCTCACATCTGTAATCCTAGCTACTCAAGAGGTTGAGATCTGAGGATTGGGGTTCGAAGCCAGCCCAGGCAGGGAAGTTCATGAGCTTCTTATCTCCAATTAATCACCAAAAAAGCAGGAAGTGGTGCTATGGCTCAAGTGGTAGAGTGCTAGCCTTGAGCAAAAGAGCTCAGAGACAGCACCTATGCTATGAGTTCAAGCCCTGGGGAAGGAGATGGGAGCAGGGGACAGAGGAGAAGTCCATTTAGAGGTAGTGGTGAGTAGCCCTGAAGCACAAAAATGGATGACACTGGGAATCAGGACCGAAGCCCAGTTCTTCAGCTCAACTGTGTAGGTTGATAGGATCAAGAGGCTGACTGTAAGCAATGTAATGATCTAAAGGATTAGTGAAGAGTCTAGACAAGGTATGACAAGGACCTGGCACCATTTCCTCTACCGACTCTAGCATCAGTACCTACCTCTGTCCCTGCTCTCTGTATGTAATTTTGTGACTTTTCTCCCTAAAATGAGGTGTATCCCCCTATCCTTTGACCTTGGATTAAACTACACACTTAGGTTTGGCCAGTAGAATGTGAGCAGTGACATGTGACAAGTGATAAAGTACCAGTGGAGCAAGCAAGCTGAGCAAATGTGAGAGTCTGAGTTCAAGTCCCAACACTAGCAAGGAAACAAATAAGATCCAGGCTCTACAGGTTCCACCCAGAGCACGCACACGCAACCAGGCACCTGAGGGGCAATGCCAGCCAGCCAGCATCCTTCTCAGGCTTGTACCTGGATGAGCCTATTTAATCCTTGTAAAACTCTGGAAGAGTTTTGTCTTTACTTAACAAAACAGAGCATCAGGCACAGACAGGCCAATTTACCTGCCAAGGGCACACAGATCGCGAGGCTGAGCACTCCTTCCAGCATCAGCGGCCCCACCGCCCACACTCTCTTCTGCATCCATTTCTCAGCAGAAGGATCAGCGGCCACTCTCCTCCATGTTTGGCCACGTTCCTACCACTATGTCCATTTATCTCTACAGCTCCCTTCCTTCTGTCTGCTGGCTGTCTTGCCTGACACTAGTGAACAGTTCTATGATTTGACACCCTTTTACATTCCTTTCCTATGGCTCTGAGTGTCCCAGGAAGAGTCTGCCAGAGACCACTCCTGTTGGCATATGCCCAAGTCTTTCCATCTCAGTCCTTGCCTAGAGGGCAACTCAGACAGGCTGAGGCCACAGGTGGGTGCAATGGGGAATGAAAAGCAGTGACCCTTAGAAAGCTGGTGGCTGGACAGGGAGAGCCCTGCCTGGGCATGAAGTGGGGGACATAGCATCCAACTCTCCCAAACAGAGTTGTCAGGGCACTCAGCCTTGTGTCACCTAGAGCGATCCCACAAAAGTTTCCCAGAGAGCAGAACAAAAGCCTATTGAAGAGTGTATGGATGAATGAGTATCAACAACTCTGCCAGAGCAGGCTGCGCAACCTGGGAGCAGGGGCTGGGCTGAAAGGCATCCCACCAGACGTCAGCATGCTTGGTAGTTTGGGATGTAGCCAGGAGTGAACAGGCAAGGAAGGAAAAGTCTAGCTCTCAGTATGCCCTTTTCACTGCATGAATTGAGGGAGCTGAAAGTGGTTAAAATCCTGCCCAGGCAGAGCTAAAGAGAATGGACAGTATGCTTCAGCCATTGTTAGCCTGTGATGTGGCATGAAACACACAGACTCCCAGAACCATAGATCTCAGCTCCAAACTGTCATCAGCTGCTAGGGTTACATGCACCCCAGGGAATCTGCCTCTGGTGCCGCACAGGAAAGCAAGTATTTGAGGGGAAGGAGAGAAAATGTGAATAATTAATTGTCACAAAAAGCCTGTAGGCCTCCCTGGAGATGATGTGTCCATAGGATGTGCTCTGCCTTTATCATATCTATTACCCGTCTTCTCCAAGGGCCTTAGCAAGCACCTGTTCAGCTAGGATGAAACCTAGGCCAAACATAACCCAGGCCGTAGGCGAGACCCATCCTGGGCTGCTTACAGGGTGGGAGCTGGTCACATGGCTTATGCATCCCAAGAAAAGAAGGAAGATTTTTTTCTCATGTGTTTATGTATTAGAGTCTCCTTTAATGACACAAAACAGCACAGAGTTTTAGAAAAGCGGGGCACATTCAGACCTTCTATAGAAAAGAAAGTGCACAATTATTTGCTTATTATCTATTACATAGATGTATAAACATTTGATACATCTATCTCATTTAATTGTTGACAGAATGCTATGATACAGGTATACTCTCCACTTTGCAGCTGAAGTGTCAGCTGACTTGCTCAAAGCCATTTGGCTAGCAAAGGGCAAGAACTCTCTGGGCCCAAATCTGTCTGAATCCCAAGTCTCCCTCACCAGTGGTGATGTCACACCCCACCCCCTAAGCCTACGGTTCTTACAGTCAGCTTGTTGGTTTATTTTGCCCCAAACCTTAGCTTGCTTGGTTGGGGCTCTGAACCTATGGCTCAGTTCCTGCAACCTACTTGGATGGGAGACCCTGCTGAGAATGGACTATTTTTCAGAGAATATATATTAAGTCATGAGTACTATGGACAAGTGGTCAGGGGACCCAAATCCTTTGCTTGTTGATAAGATTGACAGATGCCAAACAGCCTTTTAGGAATCTGAATGCTGCCAGCACAAGAGACCAATCTCTGCAGCCCAGAGCTCCATGCCATCCCTGCCTGGACTGTTTCTCACCATGATGTTCCTGTCAGACTCATGTGTCTTCAAAGCATCTACTTCTTGGTTGTGAGCATAACCAGCAAAAGGCCAAACAGACTGTCTGGACTAGTTTCATGATATAGCAAGCTCAGATTCCCCTTTCTAGAACTTGTATTATTATTATTATTATTATTATTGTGTTGTTGTTGTTAGGTAGCTGTACAATTCCATAAGTCAGGTTATGAGTACAATGCTTCTTAGATGATGTCACCTCTTCTTTCGTTCTCTTTTATTTTCTTCTTCCTGACGCTACCCTCAAGTTATATAGTTCTGTGTTTATATAATGTCAATTGAATATAATAACATTTTCTTACCCTTTCTCCCTCCATTCCTGTCACCCCCTTTGTTCTCCCCCGCAAAAGAAACATATTTTCACTTCCTGATATTTGGTTTGATAGATAGTACTTTAGTTGCTTAGGGGAATTACACCTTAGGATTCCTCCCCTAAGTGTACCCCCCTCCCCTTTAGCCAACTTGTTTTTTGTGTAAATGCATTAATCCCTGAATATGTTATCATGCATCGTTGTTTTTAGATTTAGCTTCCACATATATGAGAGAAAACACATGCTATTTGTTTCCCTGAGCAAGCAACCTGATTTGTTCTAGAATTTTTGAGCAACAACTCATATCACTGTCTTTTATGTGACACTTTGCAATTCAGTTGTGATGATTTATATGATCAAGGAGTGTTTATTGATAACATGTGCAAACTCTCCTATACAAAGCTGAATGGACAGTCTCTGCCTTCATACGGTTTATACTCAGGTAGACAATATATAAAGTTATGAGATGAACTTGGGAAGTGAAAGATATTTGGGAAAACATGTGTTCAGTGTAGGCATAAGAGGTTTCCAAGGCAGCATCCAGAAACACTTACCATGGGCAAATCACCATGC